AGAGAGAGAGAGAGAGAGAGAGATAGAGAGAGAGAGACGCACTTATGTATGCATATATGTATATATACACAAATGCATAAGAATTTTATAATACGTAAATGACTATTAAAAAATTTAATACATAGACTTTTTTTTTTTATTTCGCATGCATCTACATGATCTTGAACTCAAGCTATTTTAGTTGAAAAATAAAAATCTCAAGCACTAGGGCAAACGTGGCTTGCATATGTCGTTTTAGGGTTGTGAATTTAGATCAAAGATCCTTAACCACCTGAAGATTGATTTGAATTTCGGCTCGGATGGAGATCGGATCAAAATAAGCGAGCCAAGCCACAAGCCAAATTTTGGATCGATTTTTTTTCAAGCCGACCTCATCTCTGCTCAAAGTCGGGTCGTTAACAGTCCATGACTGTGAATTTAGCAAATTTAGCTTGGAGATCGTTAATCGCTAAAATTTTGAATTGAATTTTACTCGGACTGATATAAACCAGCCGAGCTACAAGATAAGATTTTGGATTGAATTTTTTTTTAGCAAATATTAAGCCGAGCTCAGCTCAAAATCGGACGTTAACAGCCCAACGCAATCTTAGCTTGAAATGGGGTAGAATTCAAGTTCTATACCAAGGAGAAATTATATTTTATTTATTTTCGAATAAGTTTGGGTTAAAAATTGGACAAATTGCACGGCATTGAAAAATAATGTAGAGGATTTTAAAATTGTTTTTTTTTCTTAAATTCAGGACCACTTGGAAGAAAAGGCTCACCGTATTTTGTTTATTCGGAGCGTCGGGCCCGATACACAACCCATGGACTGTGACTACAAGCTCAATGGATTACAAAAGCTTGTTGGTTTACAATGACAGGTTTAGGTGGGCCCATATGTTTGACTTTATGGGCCCGAAATGACGTCTAACAATACAACAATGGAAGGAGGGCCGTTATCACGTGGTTTGAGAAAACGTAAACTAGCCATAGCATTGCACGTGAGTGGGACGTGCGCACGTTTATTTGTCATCTCTAAATGATATTGTTGATCTTGCAAAACAGTTTGTTCTGACAAAAAAGAATGATTTGCATTTAATTTATAGACTTATTATCTTTGCATTAACTTTACTAGTTGTTATAACTACAGTTGAAAGAGCATTTTCTGCAATGAAAGTTGTCAAAAATCGAAGCGTAGTCGAATGAGTAATGATTGGCTTAATGACTGTCTCGTACCGTACATTGAAAAAGAATGTTTGATTTGGTTTTGAATGGAGTTGTTATGCAATATTATCAATATATACAAAATAGATTGAAAAGTTTGTAATATATTTTAATTTATGATTGGTGATAGAATACAAGATTTTATTTTGAATTGTGTTATTCATTTTATTTATTTGTATTTTTTTGATATGTATAAGAATTGAATGGTATGTTTGTAAATTTTCCTAAAAAATTTAGGATGTTTTTGGGACAGCGGTATGGTTGAAGTGTTCACCACACTTTTTTGTGTTTGCCAAAATCACGTTTTTCTTATTTTTAAAAAGAAATTATGGCTGAAAATTGTGTTTTGTAGTATGACATGTGTAAGTATGGTGGCTACTGGAAAACTATAGTCTGACTTTTTAAAAAAAAAAAAAATGTAATGGTCACCACAGCTTTTTGAACCACAAGTTCTTCAATAACTGTTTCACAATTGCTTCTTCTTAATGTGTTTTGTAGTATGACATGTGTAAGTTTTTCTAATTATTTTAAAACAGAAACTTGGTTTTTTTAAAATTTTTTATCTAGTTGGTAAATAGCCATTACTAACTTAATTTATAAAATAATTAAAAGTCGAATTTTTTAATTATTATTATTTATTTTTTCAAATCTCAAGTGCTGGCACAAAAAGATTATAAATATAAATACCAAGTTTTTGATGTTAATATCAATTGCGTGGCGGTGATAAAACTGTTACATCGCTGTCACGCAGTTCATCGCGAATGTTAGGTTACGGTCCCGGCCATGCGCGTATTCATCCGACACGTCTCAGTTGTACATCTGCAGGCGGCATTTCATATCATGATGTGGATCACGTTTTGCAATCGAGACCCTGCACCCCTCAAAATCTCTGCAGCTCCTACGCCCATTCTCCATTTTTTTTAATTTTTTTATACTATATTTAGCCAAGGAAAAAAACAGATTCTTACCGAAATATCTTTTTTTTTTTTAATTTTACATATAGAATTGTACATAAAAATATATGTAAGAGTTGATTCTAAGAGATCATATGGTCCCAAAAGAAAATAGTAAGATAAATGAACGTCCATCCACAGAGGACTAAGAAGCCCATTTATTCAATTGGGTGCAACATTCGCTTCAAAGCAAGCAAAGCTAAACCCGACAAGTCAAGAAGATGATTGAATGACCGGAATACAAGTTGCTTGATCGGAAATGAGACTACGTTATCAGAGCCGACTGACATAAAGGAGCCAAACCGAGGAAAGATCTACTCCATTAACATCTCCAATGATGTCGAGGGTGTCCAGAAGCTCCTCCCACTTGTTTGTTATCAGGGGTCAATATTTGGACTAACTTAGTTGAAAGAGTTAATCCTGCCGAACTGAAACCAATCAATTTCAATCCACCAATACGGTTGAGTTGAAGCAATACGAGTTCAGTCGAACGAGCTAAGTAGCAGCTAAGCGATAGGCTTATACCTGTGAAATACCTATAATACCATGTACAACTCTCAATTAGTGCAGGTGCAAAAACATAAAAACACTATATTCTACTTTCCTATATAAATAAGAAGATTATTTCATACACAAATGGAGTACAAATATGCCTAGGGAAAGGTCAACATATTATATACGGTGTGTTACCGTCCACTTATTTCTCTCTCCCTTGATGTGTGATTCAGTGTCAGATCATGATTCAACAATAACACGCAGTTCTTATTAATTTATATATTTTATATTTAAAGTTTAATGTCCATTTTTAAAACATTATAGTATAAAAATTTATACGAAGATATATTTTTTGTAAAAAATTAATCATTCTGATTTATAAAAATTTAAGTGTCATGTACATAATAAGTAAATATGTGAATAAATAAAAATTATATGATATATATGTCAATGTCCCAATTTCTAATCACAATAATTTTCAAAATTATTAAATTAAATTTTAAATTACTATAATATAGTTCGAACTAAATTTAAATCCCATTAATTTAACTAGATGTTTTATTGACATAATGAGAACCGATTAACGTTTATTTATTTATTTATCGGCACTTCAAATTAATGCACGGCTCAAAAATCATTTCACGATGACTTGCAAAATTAATTAAATTTGGTAACATCCAATCATAAAATAATTTTTCTTTATCATACTAAAAAAATTACACATATAAAATATTTTTCTAAGAATTAAATGAAAACGCCCAATAATAATAAAGTTACGAAGTATTCTTTCTAATAATTTGGCTGTGAAATAATTTGACATTTTACCCCCTTTAAAATATCAAATTTGCCTTTTCTTTTTTTCTGAAATACCAATTTTACATTCATTTTCTTAAGTGCTCCCACATTAGATGATATAAGGGGTCAATTTATCAGAATCTACACCTGAGCAGGGAGAAATATTTGCATACGGACTACGTACGCAGAACTGTGTGCATAATAACCTTCGCTTAGCAGTTATTAAGAGTTATTGAGAGGTTATTGATGTATTAATATCAATAGCATATAACCTCAATGACCTTCGTGTGTTCTATTTTGATGTTATTCATAGTTTATTATGAGGGTATTGCAGCGTTAATGAAGTACGTACGTAGAGCTGAGGGCGTATTCCGTATGCAAATATTTACCCTGAGCAGGAGTTCAAGTAGATCTCATGGGCTTTTAAAATCATCCAAAGAGAACCCATTTTTCCACCCTCTTAGAACATTGCCACTGTCTTCTCCAAAACTCCGGCGATGCTGGCCCGGCGGCCCGACCGAGATCTACCCATCCCGGCTGCCGGCTCTTCTTCATGCCGCCGCCCAACAAGCCCATTGGAACGCAACCCGCAGCCATCCAAGGGATGGAAAAAGAAAGAATCCGACGGTGTAGGGCTCGGCATCCTCGCACAGCTGAGCAAGGCTCGAAGCCGTGGAGACGATGCAACTGCTGAGCTCGCCAACCTATCGGCCGCCGGAGAAGGTTTTCCGGTAGCTGATTTTCTCAGCTGCTGTTACTTGTGCAGGAAAAGGCTCCATGGCAAAGATATATATATGTACAGGTGATAATCTAATAACTTAATTACTAGTAATTACTTTTCTTCTTCAATTAATGGTTTGATTATTTAACTGTATATTTTTAGTTTTACATTCATATTTTGGCTTTAGTTAGCTATAATTACTTCGTAGAGCAGCATGCAGTTCAACAAACTATATATGTAATGTGATTTTTATTAATAAGCTCAAAAGCCAAAAAAAAAAAAAATTAAATAATTTTGTGTGATAAACTAATGGGAAAATGGTGCATGGTGATTTGGTTGCAGAGGGGAGAAGGCTTTTTGCAGCATGGACTGCAGATATCAGCAAATTGTGAGCGAGGAGTACATGGAATATTGAAGGTCTGAAGACATCAGACTGCCTGCCAGATCTGTAATTAATTCTAATGATGGAGAAATGCTGAGAAATGCTGAGGGTAGGGTGATTGTTGCAAAGAATCAGAAAAATGGTTAACTGATCAGTGAGTTTTAAAGTTTTTTTTTTTTTTTTTTTGCAGAATAATCCCTCTTTCTAAACTTTATGATCTGTAATGATTGTATATATTTTATGTTTTCACTTGTTGATGCAAATATATGCAGTTGTGGATATGAGATGAGATTATGAGAGTATTTTCTCAAAATGATTTTGAAGATAAAAGGAATGAAGTGTATCAAGTAACCAATCAAGCAAATAGGAAAAAAAAAATCTTTTTTTAAGAGGTGGGTTAAGGTCAATTAGTATGATTTTGTCTTTTGATATGAAAAAATTAGAAAAAAAAAAAAAATATCAGAGTCTGCCACTTGTGTAGTCAGGCCCATCTTAATAAAATAAATAAATATAATATATGAGTGAGTTTGTCTGTACACATGATATGTTCTAATTTGAGTGCTGATGCAAAACTACACCAGAACTCCTCATGCAATATTGTTTTAAAAAATAGATGGAACTAATATGTTGCTTTGGCAAAACTTTGGAAAATAATTTGCAAGTTATGATGGGGTGAATGAAAATTTAATATCTAGATTTGTAATATATGGATTAATTTGTACATTTGCACTTATAAGAGATTAAGAAAATCACAAAAGCCTTTTTTTTTAATTTTTTGTCATTTTTGCTAAGGATAAATATTTTTTCTTAGGGTATTTGGTTTACATATGATATAAATGAAGACAAATTCAAATTCGCCAGTTTATTCCTTCTGGTTTCGACGTCGCTATATTCTAGGAGACAAAACACTCATGAAATTCTCAAGCGCTAATAAATGGAGTACGTGGAGCTGTTTAGAAATTGTGTGTAATGTGGGCCCCACCTTCCTTTAGTTTAATTTTTAATTAGAAACATTTAACACCCTAATTGTAGTTATATGCGTCATAATTAAGTGATCATTTATTTTGAGCTATTATTGAGCTTTTATCTTCCTCGAACTTATCATATGTATGGTTCATCGATACGATATTGTAAGATAAATATGGTTGTGTTTTTCAATAGATATTCCATTGGATATTTGTATGCACGTTAGACCGTGCGTGGGGATATAATGAGTAAGAAATGCTATGATGTAACTAAGAAGGAACATATGTTTGATTGGATTTTAATTTTAATTTTAAATTTATTTTATGTTCATTTTATAAATCATAACTTTTATTTCTTATATATATATATATATATATATATTCAAAATTTTAAAAATATTATATAATGTATGTATGTATGTTTGCCTAGCTATTACACAATTTTTTTGTATAACTAGTTATGCAAATACCATTTAATTGTCGAGAGTCATACAATATTTTTCATGAGTCATTTTGTATTACGGGCTCCATATAATATTTTATGACTGCATATTATATTTATTCATGCAAAAAAAATGAATTTCATATGATTACTTATGAGACTTTTCATAATTTTAAAAATAAGATGACCAACATCCCCCCAAAATGAAGTGCCTAAACGAGATAAACCTAGCCTCTCAAAATCTCCCCCCATTTCTGCCTAAAGTGGTCTCATGATGCCATCTAAAACCTTCCAAAAGAAGCCACCCCAGCCACTTTTGATCCTTCCCATACATATCTCGCCATATCCAAGGCTGCATTTTTCGGCTGCCTGGGAGGTCTGCTGGTGAGAAAATCGAGAAAATAAAAAGTAGAAAACTGGTCTAGCGCCTAGGCGTCGTGCCCCTGGAGAATAGGCGTCGGGGCCTAGCCACTTGGCGCCAAGGTCTTGCGTCAGGTTTCTCAGAGCTTTATTTTAACTTGTTTCAGAGCAGTTTCTGGCGCCTAAACGCCCGAAACTAGCATCAGGAAGCTGTCCCCTCGGGTTTTAAGCCCCTTGGAGGCTGCATTGGGCGCTTGGGAGCTGGTCTAGTAATGAATGTTCTATTTTCGCCAGAAACATCTGATGCAGGGGTTTCTCAACCTGAAAGTTACAAGAGACCACATATGACTAAATTATGATTCCCTAACTTAAAAAATGATGTTCTTGCTCATTCATTGATCAGAGACTGTCACCAACGGGTGCACTGAATCACGACATGGGCAAGACTTTTTGAACCATAATTTTTCTGTAGAGCACATAGGAGTGCTTCGTGACTCCTCTTGACCTCGGGGAGGCTCCGAATGGATATAGAGGGACCTCTGGACACCAGAACGAACAACAAACATGTCCAATGTCTTGAGTAGGTCCGCTCAACGGTGGATTCTTTCGGGTAAATATGAATTATCGAAGACCTTGGCTTCGTGCTCCGAACACGTATCAATGGTCTCAGATGGGTGTCATCAGCTACGAGATGCTATGAATAAGCCCTGAATCGTCCTAAGCCATTCAAATGGATACCCTAAACACGTGACATTAAAATTTGATGGCAACCATCAAATATAGTGAACTTATAGTCAAATCGAGTGTCTCGACAAGATAAATCCAACAAGCCAAAAATTGCTCAATTCTGTCATCGTTAAGACACTCAAATTTTCATCAAACGTTGTCTAATTGAGGGAACCTCTCTAGATCATTCGATCAGAGTAGTTCATATTTCATTTTTAATTACAATCGGGACTCTATAAATATAATATCACCTCTCTAATGTAGAGGATATGAGGCCCAAGTAAGTGCTTGAAACTTTGAGAAGGAGTTGAAGTCCAGCATTAATCTTATCACTGTCGACCACCGCTTGTCGGCCGATGTTGATCACCATTGATCGTTGCTCATTTCTTGTGACAAGTTTCTTCGCGCATCAACGTTGTAACTCGGGAGAGTTTGTAACCCTTTCTTAGTTATGACAGAAGAGGTTTTACTTATAATTTTCAGTTTATAGTAGATCTCTTTAACTGGGTCATGCCCCGTGGTTTTTAACCTTTATGGGTTTCCACATAAGAAATTCTAATGTCTCTATTGGTTATTTTTCTTTTATTTAAGTATGTACTGAATTATCATGCAACACTAAGACGATAATCTATTACCTTACCATCGTGAATCTTCTAGCACTCATCAAAACTCTTATACATAATTAGTCTTATAAAAAAAGGTTCTATAATCATTTTAACATACAAGGTCAAATTATTATTATTATATCTGCATTATATCACTTTTCATTAGGGCTGTGAATTTGGCTCGAGAATTCTTAATCACTCAAAAATTAATTTTACTTTTGTCTCAAATTGTGATTAGATCGAAATAAACAAGCTGAGCTATGAGCCGAAATTTTGGATAGAACTTTTCTCAAGCTGATTTTGACTCATATATGGATCGGCTCGAAATGACTCGAGATCTGCTAGTATTTTTTATTTATAAAAATTATACATATATGGTTAAGTAAAATTGATTATAATAAGTTACGAGTCAATTTCGAGTCGATGTTGAGTTGAAACGGATCCAAACAACAAAATTTGAGCTAGTTAATTTTAATTTTGTGTTGGATCGAGTAGGTTTCGAGCTAAAACGGATCCGAATAACCCAATTTGAGCTAGTTATTTTTTATTTCGAGCCTGAACGAGCTAGACTTAATTTTGAGCCGGTCGGCAAATATAATGAGCCACAAGTCGTTTTTGGCACAAATCAAGCCAACTTTGTGAAAGGTATAATCATGGATGTTGATCTCTCTCTCTCTCTCTCTCTCTCTCTCTCTCTCTGACTGCATTCAATTCTCCAAGTGAACATGATGACATTGCACTTGAATATGACTTCCATGTTAAAGGCAGTCTTATTAATAGCTATCTAAGGTTTTGATCTAAGTTTCAACTAGCTCGACTCAAGCATTTAGAACAAAATTAATAATTATGTGATATTATTTTTTCAATAAAATAATCCTCAAATTTTATGCACTTAAAGTTAAAACGAACATTATGATGAAAAAATCCAACGAGCCGAAAATCATTCAATTTATATTCTATTAATTTAGTTAGCTATCAAAGAATAGCCTATGATTGGTGAAAGTAATATGATCCATCACATTGTGTTTTCAGAATTTCATTTAAATTATCAAAATATCTCTCCAAAAATTATATACACACCCCTATGTTTTTGCATGAGGGGGACTTAAATTTGTGGATGGCCTACAAATCCCAAATTACCCGAGCTCTATTCGTCAGTCAAATTCAACATCTAATTGTATTGCTTGACCGCCACCATTTGATTGTTGCTACACGACAACTGTTATTCTATTATCATTACTCGATTGTTATTCCCCGTCTACTGTAGTCCAACGATTGTAAATAGATTGCAGTCTCTTGATCATAGTCATCATCTTGCACCACTTTTTGAGCATTCTTTACAACAATCAGAAAGAGGACAAGTTAATGATTTATTTTTTATACTCATGCCTTCTCCAATTTGATGAGAGCAAATTTTTTAAATTTTGTTTATACAATAGTCTATTTTAAATGGGCTAGACCTATGATTCATCTAAATTGCTTCTATATATTTTTGTATAAGATCTTTTTATAATGCTAAAACATAAAAGTATTTCAATCGTGATGAATATTTTTTTTTCCGGCAACACTTAATGAAAGTGCTAATTAAACTATAAATAAAAATATTTGTTATTTTGTTAATGACTTTGAGCTGCTTAGAATGGAATATATTGAATTAGTTTCTTATACCAATGCATATATTTTGAAAATATTAATTTCTTATATTTTCTTTTTAGTCTTCACTATATAATGATTTTGATTTATTTAAAAAAATGTTGAGGTCAAAAAATGTTGAGGTCCTTATCAAGGTAATGGGATCTTAGGTTAACTATTATAAGGGGTGCAAATGAGTAGAGTCCAACACGAGTCATGCAGACCTCGAGATCGGCTCATTTGGCAAACTGCTAGCTCGAGTCAAGCTTGAATGGCAAGCTCAAGCTCGGCTTGTACTGTTAACAACTAGCTCGCTGGCAAGCTCAAACTAAAAACTCAATCTTAACGGAGAGCTCGTCGGAGAAGGTATTGCTGGTTGGAAGAGGAGGAGGAAGCAACGAGAGCTTACCAAAAAATACATTAAAATGACTAGTGGTAGACTACTCAAATAATTTCGCGAGGCAACGAGCTGAGCCAGCTCAAGCTCAAGCTCATGGCTAGATAAGGTTGGCTCATGAGCTCGTGAGCTAGCTCGGTTCATTTGCACCCCTAACTATCATCATCAAAATAAATTATAATACTAGAAAACATTTTATCAAGAATTTTGGCTCCTTGGAAGTTTATTTGCAGGCATTGGCGAGAAAATGAAGCAGAATGGCCATCCAAACAAAAGGAGAAAGAGT